TCAATGTGGTGGGATCAGATTGGACGCAATTCCCACACTGTGTCTCCAGTGTTGTCCCCTGTAGTGCTATGGATCAGTGAGGGCCATCATGTCTTGTGGTGGGGCTGGCCCTATGGTCCTTTCTGTGATTTGGCTGCTCTGAGTGGGAATATCATCCTCAGGGTTTGGTGAGCCAGGATATGTTCCACTCTCTCTTCCTCCCCATTCATTTGCTCCTGTGTGCTCTGATCAGACATGTCCCACTTCCTGAGCTGAAGTTTCAGTGCTGTCCTATAAAGTGAATTCTTTTGCGGGGAGGGAGGCCTGTCCAAGTAGTTGAGATTGGGGCCGGCCCCTCAGACCTCTCTATTGGTTCCCTGATTCAGCCCAGTATGTTGCATTCACATCTTGGAGCACTGGGTTGACGTCTGGTCCCCCTATCCCTGTGGAGATATAAACAATACCCTCCCCTTGGCTAGGCTAGTGCCCTGTTTCCCTGCTACCCATTTCTTTTTTTTTTTCCTTCCCCACCCCCCTCCTTTTTAATGGGCTACCATATGCATCCCTGGATTTGGTCTGGCCCCTACCATACTACCTGGACCTCACCCCAGGAATGTTTGTATAGAGTAGCTTTTTTCTTGTGCCCCTTTTGCATTTTTAAGCTTACCTCAGCCGACTCATGTTGTACTTGCCCTTTTGTGATTGGCTTACTTCGCATAGCAGAATTTCCTCCAGTTCTTCCCATGTGGCGAAGTGCTTCATGCGTTCATCACTGCTTTTTAGCAATGCGTAGTACTCCTTTATATGAATGTACCAAGGTTTTTTAATCCATTCGTCTGTTGATGGAAATTTGTGTTGTTTCCAACTGCTTGCATTTGTGAAATGTGCCTCAATGAACATTGGAGTACAGATGTCTGGCCATGGTTTGTTTCTTGCCTCTTCTGGGTACATGCCCAGTAGGGGGATTGCTGGGTCATATGGCAGCTCAATTTCCATCTTTTTTACATATAGCCAGATCGATTTCCATATTGGCTGTACATACCTACTGGTCCACCAGCAATGGATGAGAGTTCATATCTCCCCACAACCCCTCCAACACTTGTTTGCTTTCTGATTTTTTGAATTGGGCTATCTTTGAGGGTGTTAAGTAGTATCTCATTGTTGTTTTAAGTTGCATTTATCTTATGGCTAATGATCAGGAACATTTTCTCATATGTTTATTATCCCTTTGGATTTCTGCTCTGGTGAAACTTTTGTTCAGGACTTTTGCCCACCCCCTCAGTGGGCACTTTTTTCTTTTTGGAAGCTAGCAGAGTACTGTAGACTTTAATGGTAAGGCCTTTGTCTGATGTGTCATTGCTAAAGATGTTTTCCCAGTCTATGGGCTCTCTTAATACTCTCTTGGTGAATTCTTTTAATATACACGGGTGTTTTATCTTCAGTATATCCCACTTGTCAATTTGTGACTCATCTGTATTTGTGTTCTTCCCTATCTCTGGTATCTGTGTGTTCCCTGCACCAAAGTTCTCAG